CACTTTGCACTTTGAAGATGCAAAGCGCATCCCGAAAGGAAATACAGAACTTGCTAGTCTGTCAAGAGCGCATTGCGCATCCTCCATAGATTCGAACAGGCATACAATGCCATTAGCGTACTCTAAATCGCACAGCTTTTCTCCAGCTGCCCATTCAATACTTACGTTCTGGAGACCAGTAAGTGAGTTCTCCAGAACTTCGTCTACGACGAAGTTGAACAGGAATGGCGAAATAGGGCACTCTTGACCGACACCACTCCTGGTTTCGAACGATTTACTTAGCCCACCATAAACCTTTACGCTACCAGAAGCATAATCCATAGAGGTCGACCATTTCCTCCAGTAAAAGAACAGAATGAAGATTGGAATGTTGAGAGTAGAGTCGAGGAGAACATACACAGTTCATATAAACTAAGATTGTAAGGATAATGAGTAAATGCACAAGCGCCACTGATGCGATACATTCAGATACCTCAAGAAAGAATTCATCCACAAGTGATAGATTGTTCTGTCTCGATATCGAAGACAGGATTTTCTCGCTCACACAAATTTATTGTATTTTATAAGGGTCTGGCCGCTTGACTAGGCACCTTTACATAAACGAAAACTAGCAACAGCTGGATTTCGCACTGGAAATATTTGATTGGTCAAAACCTGACCCGTACAGTAACTAAACGGTCTTTGAAGACTTCAGCCCACCAAGGGACTGGTGTTTGATCATATGGGTCTAACAACCTTCGAGATCAGCAGGCTCTAAGGCCAGTTGGTATGGCGGTTTGACAGATGATCAATTGATCTTCACCCGTATTTTATTTGTAAAAACATCAGACAACTCGATAAAACTCGAATCCGTAGATGTACGCCACCTATGCCTTTGTTTAACGTACGACTAATCCGTCAACCGAATGGGTCCTATTGAAAGATCCGTTTTCCCTACTTGACTATAAATTCAAATAACGGAGATTAATGGAACTCCTCAAAAAAACCATGGTTGAATGCCTCGGTAGATTTTTCGTGGAATCAACGGGATAAACCGTTCTCTGGTTGTTGAAAATCATCATCAAAAAGAGCTAGCGACCCGTATATTTTATTTTGGTTATTTTTCACCAGATATTTAATATCGGACGGAACGAAACAAAGGCCAATTACATGTTGATGGAGCAAAATGCAGTCAGATTCTGAAATGCTTTCACATTGCACAGATCTGGGATGCTTGTGTGCAGATGACTGTGTCATACTAATTGGTATGACAGCGCAACAGACACTAACGCTTGGAGTAAATAAGCCATAAGGTGCATATAGTCTACAGGCTGCATCCACGTCATGTGAACTGGAGCAAGGCAGAGGTGACAGGGTCACACACACACACACTGCTCATTTGTGTGTGTGCGTTTAAATATGGAGCTACAGGGTATTGAAAAGACCAAGGAGATAACAAAAGATCTAGAATCCAGACACGCCNTGCATACAAGCGGTGCCGCAGAAAGCTTGCACACGAGTGAATCAAGCTCAACGTGTGGCCTAAGCAGACTGAAAGACAACACCCATTTCGATGAGTGGTACACGACTTGAGTTAACAGAACCGACAACTAAATAACTGTCACCAAAGGTGTGAATCTGATCAGTCTTAATGTGAGTTGATCGGTACAGTGGAACCACTTGCCTTCCGTGCAAAGGGTTTGAGCCAAAAACAAAGGAATCAGTATGCATGGGAACCACAGATGAGTCCTAATGAGAACGAAACTTAGCGGCNAACTCGGATCGTGTTACTCCGAAATCAACCTCCTGTCGTGTATTACCAATCGGTGGGAGCGATGGGCTACATCCTCCACGGTGTAAGATTAACTAAACTAACGCTGGACTGCGTGTGTGTGTGTGCAAAGATGGACAACCACTGCAGACTGAGAAGCTTATAGTGCCCGTATTGTTGATGTGAGAAACGACAAAGCGATTCGACATTAATGAGTCCCAAAACATCAGTAGCTACCAAGAAACATCCAACACCGAGATCAACAGTCATCTGTGACGCGACATCACTATCCAAATGGGCAGCCAAACAAAACCGGCGCACGATAGTGCATGGATAATGGTTATACAAACTGAAATTGATATGACTATCATCATCATCATCATCATTGTACAGCGAAAAACAGTGAGGCGAACTTCACTGATCGCTACCATACTCGCAATCCATATGTATTGGGGCTTGATGAACGGATATTACTAGGGTGTCCAGACACTAAGCAAGAGAACGATTGGGGTTCTAAACCAAAGCCTTTAGTTCTGACAAGAAATTAGCCCCAAGGCAGCGAATGAAGCCAAATGGAGGCCCATTTACTTGGATAAATAAATCCTCTACCATTTTCTACCCACTGACACGCAAATTCTAGTCGGACCCCCAACCTGGAGGACCAGGAGACTAGACCTCATCTGATTAGATCTTCGGCTTGACAAAAGCCATTCTGTGTAGCACACAGGGTCAGAGAGGTGCACAAGACATCATACCACGTCCAGGTGCAGTTTCCTTGTGATGATGACTAAATGTGAGCGCAAACATTTCGGTGATTTAACCTTATTTCGTTACGTCCCAATGATATTGATGTGAGATATAGAGGCGACAGGCAGACAAGCTGTCTATTACCTCCGATGGACGGCAGTGGAAGGGTCCAAACCTTGGATTTCAAAG